ACTCTGTACTAGAACAATTCTATTTAAATATGTAAAGTTAGTTACTCTTTGAACAGTAATACAAACAGTAAACAATGTTTTCTATTGTATTAATATCTCTGCCTTACTTTAGTTTCACTTTTATAGCAGTATTTTTTACTTGTTTTAAAATTCAGCAAAAACCTTTTGGACATAAAGCCCTCAAAGGACCATGTGATGCCCAAAAAAGGCTAGAAATCAATCCCCACAGACTGGTGTCCATAGAGTAGGTATTTGTTATTGCAGCACTGGTGGTGAGGAGAGATCTCTACCTAACTCACCTTGTCAATTGCTCTGGTGTATTCATACATAATTATTGCTTTGTGTCACTATGTCACTACAACATCATCACATATGTGCCAGAACTAATGTGCATTGTATGATCTCATGGTTATAAAAAGCTCTTCTGCCCTGCCCCTGTGCCTCTCCAGTGTGGGGGTCAGCAGGAGTCTTTGATGAAGGCTTCCAAAGTTTTCTTCTCATCTGAACTTTCCAGCTTTGTCTTCGGACATGCACAGTTATGGTGTTCTTTGGTCTGTCTGGTCCTACCCGGTCTAAATTCTTTGTTTTGTGGCTAATTGGCTTTACATTTGCCAATTTCTCATTAGTACTATACTTATCTATCTCTGAAGCTATCTACTTGCTGTGTTTTTACGTCTTTTTTTGTCTATTCAGAATTTAGCAGCTAGTTAACAATGTACTAGACATTACGTTGTATAGAAAGTTATTTTTTAACAGGTTATATAGGATAAAAAGTTAGAATTCAGGTTATAGAGACATAAAAGGCTATGTTTCAGGTTACTTACATATAGAAAGTTATGATTCAGGTTATAGATATATATATATATGTATATATATCTCAGGTTATATTGATATCTTATAACTCAAGCAATATAAGCACCTTGCAACCTTGCAACTTTGGCCTAAATTATATAGGCATCACATGAAAGAAATCCGTTGTGTGCAGGGAATAAAGATCATTGGTCTTGTTTCACTAACGGGTTGTTTTATTTAAAACCCGGCCTTAAGAAGAGTCTTTGATTTGGATTCTTTCAAATGTCAAGTTTGGTGAAGAGTTGCCATGTGATTTTGAACTTTGTTGTTCAATTCCGTTATTGCTTTTAAAGCTTTGTTGTTGCCCTTGCAGTGTAACACCAAGCGGGCTTTGGCTCCAGCATTGAGGCGTGGGACGATTCTCAGTGTTGCTGCAGCAGGAAGCACTTCCTGGCATGTACTTTCTTCCCTGTAGCTTGCCTTCAGGCTCAGAGAGAAAATCAGTAGATGGATTCTTATTGTAGAAAATTAGCCTTTATATTAAATGTTCAAGTGTTACTATCCATAAGACTGCTATGACAAGGATGTGCTTAGAATGGGACAACCTAGGCATATACTTTGATTTCTTGCTATGCTTTTCTCTGTTTTCCTGGTGTTGCTACAGATATGTTAGTCTGTTCTGCTTGTGAAGACATAGAAAAATTAATTCTTTAAGAAAGGCAGGGTTACTTGCCTTGATTTCTTCACCTAGTGCAAGTCCTTACTTCTCTGTAGTATTCCGCTTTTCCCTCCAACTGTTCTCTGTGGTGTTAAGTCAGTGTTTTTAAAATGTAAATTTTTAAATCTGGTAATAATGTTGACCTCTCAGCAGACTACTTTTTTTAAAAATTATATTTTTAGGTGTTTAATTTCTGGCAAAGTTCTTATTTTATTAAAAAAGCTGGAGTGGGCAAGTACTGCATATGGAATAACTCCTTCGAAGTTTATTTTCTGATCACCAAAGCAAAAATTAAATTATTATAGACTATTATAAGCTATTATATTATTAGTAGTATTATTATTACTCCTTCACTTTGCTGCAAACTGTTCACTCTTTTTATTAAAACAGGTAGATTGTCTACTGTGCGCTTGCTGGTTTTAATAACTAGTATTTTTACCAGAAACTAAACATAGCAAAAGACTCCATCTTTTAACAGCACTATGTGTTTCTTCAGATTCTTCTCTCTTTTGCTCACTTACTAGGGCTGTCAGTTCTGGATGGCTACCTATTTTCATTATTTGTATTTCCCTGTCAGATTATAGGAAATAGAAAAATCAATTGTTATGATCTTAGCCAGCCTCTTCTTGTCATCTGAGTCCACATCTGTTTCCTCTTGTGCTGTTTATCTGTAAAAACAATGCAAGACCATTGCATGTAATGCACATTTTAGCTGGCATTAGGGAAGAAATTACCAAGTTTTTCTGGGAAATTGAAAAATTCTTTAGAGAAATTAAAAATAGTGTCTTGTGGTGATACTAAATGTCAAAGGAAAGGAAGATAGAAGGAGTATACCAGATAAAAGCACCCTAAGAGATATATTTTCCTGTCACTTTCTCTGTTGACAGTGTCTGTGCTAAGGAACCACTGAAATTAAGAGATAATTTCTGTCTCTTAATTAATGTTTGCTTAAGTTTGCAAAGTGCAAAGGGCCTAAAGATTGGCTGTCAAATATTAGTTGTTAATTTATTTTATTCAGATAGAAATTCTGTCTGTACCTTTTATAGTATCTGCGGCTGCAGATGTATTGAAAAGAACAGGAGCAAAGACTGTTCTTGCAGGCAGCCATGCAGTACATTTCATCAACTCGGAAAACTCTCAGAAAGGTTCTTCTGCCCTGACTTCTAGAGGGAAGCAAGTCCTTGTAAAGCAACTGCTTTCAGAGTATCATAGAATATACTGAGAAGAGACCCACGCGGATCCTGAAGTCCAACTCCTGGCCCTGCACAGGGCATCCCAAGAGTCACACCATGTGCCGGAGAGTATTGTCCAGATCCTTCTGAGAGTATTGTCCAAATCCTTCTTGATCTCTGTCAGGCTGGTGCTGTGACCACTGCCCTGGGAAACCTGTTCCAGTGCCCAGCCACCATCTGGGAAAAGAACCTTTTCCTGATAGCCAACCTAAACCTTCCCTGACACAAATCCAGACCATCTCCACAGTTCCTGTCATTGGTCATCAGAGAGTGCCTGCCCCTCTGCTTTCCCTGGGGAGGAAGCTGTTGACCACTATATAAATCTTACTCTGATTTAAATCCTAAACATTCATAGCTGGTTTCTTTACTGGTAGTTCGCCCATAGCCATTTTGAAGATAACCTGGTAAAGGGAAAGCTACCAAAGCAATTTATTTGGGTAGGTAAGCTTTTACGAGGTTCTCCTGAGGATGATTTTTGTCAAGGGGTAGAGGTTTTTCTTGCTAGGGATGCTTGTATGGCCTGTTAGCTTTATTTTGGGCACACCATGCTAAAACTGTATCCCCACGTAAGTTTCATATGTGTTTAAAGCAGAGGTCATACAAGCTTTCAGATTTTCTCTTCATATGTTACAAACTCAAAATTTTGAATCCTCATGTTAGAGATTTCCTTATCCATCTCTTCCTTGTATTCTTTAAGCTGGTTTCACACAGCTCTGTCACACTGATGATTGGGAGTTCAGGCACCATGAAATGGTCACACATGGGCCCTGTGTATCTCAGGTGCTACTATTCTAGTGTCATGTAAGCCTGATTCTTATGCCTTTTAGAGCAGCCTTCCAGATTTTCTCTTTTTGTTGTCACTTTGGTGCCTAACACTCTTTCTGAGATATAGTAATATGCCATTCCTACTACTCAAAGGCAATTAGAATATTTTGCATAAATTCATGTTAGAAGCCCAGGTGTATCACCTTGTATTTTGTACTGGTGAATTTAATCCCAGTTTTGAACAACAGCAGCTGTTAGGGTGGTTCAGTTCTCCTTTTGGAAAATCTCTATGTTTCTAACATTGAGCAGCAAAATTCATCTGTACATATTGGGATTTTGCACCATGATTGTTAACAAATGCTAGTAGTACTAACCTCTAATAACCTTCCTGCACTCCAGTACTTCTGCTTTCAACATGATTTTCTAGCTCCCTTTTTAGCAGTTACTTACCCTCTTGACAGTTTTTCTAACAAGCCTCATTTTCTCCTGCAAAACTAATGATTTTCTATATTTCAAAAGATATGTGCAGCTATTTGTGTTCCAGCTCTTTGAAAAATCCATACATCTCAGCAATATTTTGCCTGATGTCACTTTGGAAAATCTGCATTGATTTTCTCTTGTTTCTCTTCATTATACTGATGATTCTTTCTAGCTCTGAAGCCTTGATGTTCCGTACATAAGCACTGCATTTGTTGCTCTTCAGTCAGATATCACATCAGCAGTCTGATACACTGGTGTTCAAAAAGCCTAGCTGTACCTGTATTTACCTGTGGAAGTTCTTTCAGACTTCTGGGCTAGATGATGTCTGTGCTTCACACCCTTGGTTGTACACACTGAATCTATTTTTCTTTTTGCTTCCAGTCTGCTAGTGGTAATTTCCTTACCAGTGTGCAGCTGTCATCGTTACCATTGAAATTAGAGGAAGAACTATTTGTTCAGCGTTGGCCTTGATGCAAATTCCCACTAAACCAGATTAGAGTTCTATATCCATATTGAAATCCAATTTAAGGGCTTGGAGATTTCTACCTGACTATGAACAGTATCTATGGAAGTTGCCTTAGTCTTACTTTTGGCACTACTAAATTCTCCTTTATTCATACCGTTGTATTTCTTGCAATGGGCTCTATGCACAGTTTCATAGTTTTCTTCTCCCTGACCATTTCAATTAGTCTAGTAAATAATACTGCTTCCTCCAACAATGTTTTCATGGCTCATTTATCTGTAGTCAACCAACATTTTTGGGCATCTCTCTTTTTCCCAGCTAGCAGAAGTACAGGGGCTGCCAGACCATCATGATCATATTTGCTCTTTGTTTTTCTTGGCCAGTTTATGTTGCCTGCAGACTTTAGCTGTTTGGGGTTCAAGGCTCAACTGAGGATGTTTTCGCAAAAAAACTAGCTAGCAATTGAAAAAGGAACTGAAAAGTTACTAGGAACTGATACCTGAAATATTTCTGAAACCTTTCTGAACCACAGTGTTTGTTCACTTTTCAGATCCCCCTTTTCCAGAAGTAGAATTTGTTGCAGTTAAAGATTCTGCACCTTTGCTCAGACTCCGGAAAGCAGAAGATCAAAATGGACCAATCAGGTTTGTCTTTGTGCTATTCACTCTTCCAAAGAACATTCTGCAGATTCATGTTACATACAGATTAGAACTGTTTTGGGTAGCAAGCGTATATTTTTAGCAGTGAGAAAAAACTTGAACTGTACCTCCCAGTTTCTCTCCCCTCAGCAGAGTAATCATTAGCTTCAAGCTTTTTTGCTGTTTTCTGGCACAAAATCCTAGTTTGGATAATTGTGAGTTTTCACCACTGGCTTTGTGGTTTGATTTTGTTTGTCTTTTCCCTTTATCCACAGTGAGTTTACAGAAGATCTTTATTGATGGATACAAACACACCTCTACTGAGGTGATTTTTCTTTTCCAATTAACTCATGCAGACATCACATCTTTCCCCCCAGAACCAGAGGAAATAGTGAAAAATGTCCTCATTTTTTCAAATTCTGAAGTACTGTTTTCATAGTAGTTTATTACTATCAAAATGCATTTCTAGAGTAAAAGGATTTACCCCTTACTGAGTGTTGTTGGTGACAGAAGGAAAAGGTAACTCAATATTACACTGAAGCAGAAAATACTTGAAAGCTAGTGTTCTCATGGAATGACTGGTGTAACAACCTTAATGAACAGTCTTCCTATGATTGAATATGATAGACTAAACATTGTTTTGAGAGGTATGAGGACAGATTTGATTAGGTTTTTGTTTTTTTTAATGGTACCTGTCCTCTCCTCTTTTCAATAGGAAAAGTCTTGTTTCTTTGAACTTACAAATAATTTTTGGAGAAAATGGTATATTATTTCACAGGTGAACTTCAGTGTGAGGAGGAGATAGTCTGAAGTATGTCAGTTTTATGTTCTTCTGAACATCAGTAAGCATGTAGCAATAACATGAATGTGATGAGAAGACCCAGGCTAAGCAGTGCCTGCAGGGCATTTGGTTAAAGTTCAAGTAGAACACACAAGAGAAATATTTTAGTGTAAGAAGTGTTTGTACTGGTCAGTGTTAATAAAAACAGTTAAGAGGCTACAAATAGAATAAAAAACAGTATGGATTAATGAATATCTGATGCTTATTTAATTGAAATGAGGGCTAATATTTACTTTTCTTTTTTTGTTTTACTCTAGTCTTTATCAAGTGATTGTGCTTCCTCTGGATTTGCAAAGCACTTTTATTTGTGACTCCTTTGCTGCTACAACTTTCTTTAGTAACACCACTGACATTAAAGGATATGTAGCAGCTGAATTTCGGGCAAAGGATGTTGCTGATAATATGTCAATTGTTCTTGGAGACAGACATTATTATGGGAAGTTTTATAATGCTCCTTTAAAGCTGGGAGAAGAGTATTGTGTTTTTTTGAAAATAATAAGTGAGTGGAATAAGGTAATGGATGTTTTAATACCTCTTCTTTACACCTCTTGAATGAAATGTTGCTGGGGGAAAAGATGAAAATGTTAGCTGGGTATTAAATTTTTTATGACACTTCAAGAATCTCCTAATTGACAGAATTAGATTAAATGTGAAGCTCTTTAAATACCTCTTAAAATTCCTTAATGGTACTTATGTCATTGTGATGTTGAAGCAACTCTGAATGCCAAAAGTCAAACAATGGAAAATAATTAAAAATGAATGGCCATCTCTGCCCTCAGTAATTGAAGATGTCTGTATTGGACCAGAATTTACTGAAAGAGAGCAGTGTGAGAATTTGAAAATCACTCCTTAGCAATGATGAATTCACCCATTTTAATTTTTAATTAATTATTTTATAATAAAATATACCAATTCTCCAAATGACATGGAAAAATATATTTTATTATGTATTGTTCCCTTCCAAAAGGCAGTGAATGTCAGCTCCAGATCCATTGAGAAAGGCCTTTAAAAAAAGTATATTTTTATAATAATTTTTTATAATTTCAAAGTAAATTCTCTACAATTTTTTATAATTTCAAAGCAAATATGTATTTTTAAATAGAAACAAAAAGTTTCTAAAATCTACGTATTGTCTAATTTTCCAGTTGTATCTATCTCAGGAGTCAACAGTTTTAAATTTTTTTATAACATAGGTCTCAGCAGTAGAAAATTTTTCTTGTATGGGACAGGGGATAACTCCTTGCATGCAATACAGTTCCTGAATGTCAAATACAAAAACTGAACTAAGGAACCTCTAATAAAGAACAAAACACCTAAAGAGTGCCTCACCTTGCCATCAAAATAGAAGTTTTTTTGACTTAGTGTATACAGCACAAAGCAAGGAGGCATGCAAAAACTGATCCATGAGTCACTTATAAATAATTCTCTACAATTTTGGAAGACTACACACAAATCTCAGTAAGTTAAAACAGCTTCTGTTAAGAAATAGTGAATAACATCCTCATTTATGCATATTAAAAAGTACTGTTTTCATAGTAGTGTATTACTATCAAAATGTATTTCTAGAGTAAAAGGATTTACCTTTTACCTGTAACTGCCTCAGCTCAAAGTCAGTGAAATAAAACAAGGGCAGGAATTAAGATGGTTTTGGTACCTACTAATCTGTGCAGTACTATTTAACAATAGTCTGAGAAATTTTTATAGCTGAGATGAAGTGATTTACGATTCTGATACTAGTCTGTTGTTTGTCATAATTTTTTAATTAATTGCATGAGGGGAAAAGTAGGAAAATGGTAATAGAAGGCATTTCATTTCATAAATAATATTAAATTGACAACCAAAATATCTTGGAATTTGGACAATGAACTGTATTTCATAGAAAAATGTGCTCTGTAGAGGATTGTTAATCAATCAAAAGTATACAAGTTTGGCCTCTTCAAGCACTACTAAATACATCTAAATGCATTAGTTTAGTTATCCTGGGGCTTTATGCATAGGCTTCCCTAGCTCTTTACCCTCAGTGTTTTCTAATACTGGAGTATTTTAACTTCTTTTACTTTTGTGGAGGATTTTGCTGCATAAAACAAAGTAGATTCTTATACATCTTTACCAGCTGTTTATGAAGCTGCGTCTAACTTACATTACTCTTTCTCTTTCTTATGGATTATTTACTGATCTTTCACTGCTGACATTTGCAGATGTATTTTCTAGGCCACTGATTGGACAGATTAATATTACAGTTATTTGTAGAGGTCACTCTTGCTTCTTATCATTAAAAATGCATCAGCTCCCTCATGTACACTTTCATGTATGGCTTTTTTTGGTTGATGAAATACACAATTTACGTGCAACAGTTATGAATCATTACTGGGATTGCAAATGCCAAACTGCTTTGGTTTGCAGCTCTGCTTCTTTAAAATGGAACTTGGACTGCTGGTTGAAAAGTATTGGTTTATCTTCAAGTGTCACGCCCTTTTATTTTTGTGCAATTGCTGGTATGATAAAGCTGAAAAAAATTGGAATTATGTTATGTAGGTTGTTGGGTTTTGAGACTTTCTAAAAATGTGATTACTTGAGTAACTGCATTTGGATTCAAGAGCTCAGTCTTCTTTGCAAAAAAATTGCTTGGCTCTCAATTCTTAATACCTGTGAAATCAGCATTTCTGAAGTGTCTTTTACTTGTTAGCACATTTCCATTTGAATACAGAAAAATTAGAAACAGATGTAATAGGCTCCTAACGTTCTCATTATTCTCTTTCATATTCTGGCATCCTTAAGGGTCCCTTCTGTTTCCTTTCGTACTAAAAATGGTACAATTTGTATCATCATGCTGTAAAATAATTGCTTGATTTTGATTTTTATTAACATTATTTCTGGATATCCCTAATATATTATCGTGTTCATTTTTCCATTGTTCAGATTTGGAGGTCTTGAAAAAGGTGTCTGCTGTGAGGTTTTTACTTTCCATTTATTTTTTGTTTCTCTGAGATTCATGAGACCTCTGTAACTTCCCTGATAGGCAGGAGATGTCTGATGTTCTGCACACTAGAGTGTGTCGTAAAGGTAGCTATTTCAAAATACTGGCACTCACACCAATGCCCCAGAATGTGGCATTTAATTGGGTTTCTAAACCCACCCCTTTATCTTCCCACTTCTGAGAAGATTTTTCTTGTTACTCTTTTGTCTTTTTAATTAACCAGAAAATTCCTGATAAATAATGGGTTTAAGAATCATTGAGATTCCACAATTCAGCACGCAGATACACAGAAGTGAGATTAATCACAAAAATGTGCCTTCATCCTTTTATCCAAATGCTTCAAACCGTAACCTTCTTTCTCAAATGTACTGTTATTCAGAACAACATAATACACACTTTGCTACAACATGAAAAATGCCTATATTGTGTATGTATTATGTGAAAGTCTGTGAAAGTTATTTAGCAGGAAGCACTACAAAAATACACTTCACAGTAATTACACAATATATAATAGAACTTTGTGTATTTGTGACTATGAAGAGCTGGGGGAAAATGCTCTACAGAGACCAAAGCTTACTTTAAAAAAGCATCAAACTTGATTAACAAGTCTGCAAAAGCAGACCCATGATAAAAATTTATATAATTGTAAGTATTCTCTACAGTTATTAAAAATTACCAAGCATGTTATCGTAACTGAAGAAAATGCTACATCTAGTATTTGTAAGACATGCTATCAGATACGTGATTTTAACATACGTGTTCTGCATGGAGAGAGTTAACATAGCATATTCAGTCTTAGCTTCACATTTCATAAATTCTGAACCCTTATCAAAACAATGTCAAAGATCCTTCCATGGATGGAAGATTGTAAAAATAAAGGAAGAATAATTTGCTAAAAGCTAGAGCCGGCCTTTCATCAAAGTCCTATGTCTAATCTATTTTTATAATTTATAATCTTTTAAGACAATATAGAGGCTAGTACCAAGCAAATAACAAACTCCTTTCCAAATAATTTGTTTTCGATGGCTGATCATTCAGAGGGTTTTATTAACAATAAATTTTTCTCATGGAAAACAGTGGTTTTTATGTAGGTTTTTTGTTGTTGGTTGTTTGTTTTTTTTTTAGGTAAGAAGACAGTCCTGTGCTGTTTGGGCACAAATTAAAAGTAAGTCAATTTTTCCTTCAATAAAAAAGTTGAAGTTGTCATGGCTTTGCTTGGCAGCATAAGCTAATAATTGCTGTGGCTGTTTCTTCTTTTGCCATTCATTATCTGTTGACTTCAAGGATTGAAAAGATTAGAGACAGAAAATTTTCCTTGATCTTTACTATTCTGTTCCAGTGGATTCAGCAATCCATTCTAAAATGTACTCTCCCATTTTTTCCTGATTTTCACTGTTGCTATTTCTTTGCATCACATCCAAATCTTTACAGCAATTTTTATGCACAAAGGATCTGAAACACAGGAAATGTGAAATTTTGGGAGCCTATTTTAAGAAAGTTTTATATTGGCTTAAAGATTTAAAAAATCAGTCAAAGAACAACAACAATAACTGAAAATAACACTAATATTAAAAGCACATTTTCTTCTGCCACAAAAAAGTTCAAATTAAGTTTATGGGTTTTTCATGATATGCGGTCTACAATATGCAGGGAAGACAATTCTGTAACTTTTATGGAGGGTTGGCGTCTTCTGTAGAGTTGTGTAATTTGCTGATGGAAGCTGGTGTTATAGTACTACAATGGCAGATACATATTTTTACCAAAAATTATCACAATAAATATTTTTTTAATACTCTAATTAATCTTTATTCCTCAGCTGGATGGTAGCTCCTAGGTAATCAGCTCCATTACTCTCATTAACTGAGCCGTACGTCCAGCATCTGGGTTGTGTTGCGATACTTCAGCAATGAGCAGGCTGCAATCAAACTGTTTCACTGTTTGATTGGTTTGTTTGAATTGTTTGATACTTTCTTTCAGATGTATCACCCACTCTGCAATACATGACTGCTGTTGGATTAGGGTCAATGGCTGCTGTCTGCCTTATATTGTTTCTGTCATTCTCCATGGCACGGTATGTGATGTTGCTGCCTGAAGTTTTGCAGTCCTCCTTCATGTATTTTTTCTTTTCAGATAGATTTTCTTGACAACATTCTTGGTTTAGGCATCATGGGTGGTTAGAAACTGTAATTAAGGGTGCTTTCAGTGGCCACTAATGCTGTCCATTGCTTCAGCTGATGTCCTCTGTATCTTTGCCATTACTGGCAAAGCATGTGAAATGTGTAGGGCTTATCTTAATAAAGGAAGGATTTAAGACAGTGAATAGAACCAGAACTTTAGTACAGAAGTGTTCTGATTTAATGGGAATTTTATATGCTGTCAAAATGTTGATGCACTTTGCTTATGTACAGAGCTAATTTTTTGTCTTCCCAAATTTATTCAAAAGGCCTGAAAAAATTGTTTTATCTAAAGGCCATGATAAAAACATGTTTAAAAACTTTAGGAGATTTATTAATTTATGTTTCATGATCCTTCAAGCAGTGTCAGTAACTTCATAACTGTCTTACTTTCTAAGTTAAAACAAATATGCAAATTATATAATTGTAAATGCCTACATACATGTAAAACCTCTTCACTAAACTCTATGTCTTTGCTGTTGTTTCAGTATGCATATTTACAAGAATAGTCTTCTGATATATTTCCCTTGAAAGGTCAGGAGCCTCCAGCTTGAGGATTATGAAATATAGCCTTGATTGGTTAAGCTGCTTGTTTGGTGCTCTGAAACCAAATTAGGAATTAGGAACCAAATTAGGAATTAATGTTATATAGGGCTGAAGAAAGTAGGTTTGTTTTGATTGTTTGTGGTTATCTAAATTTCAAATCAGTCCTTGCAATCAAAATTCTGAATTAAAGGTTCCATGGTCCCTTTTTTTTCCTTAAGTAACTAAATGAACAGATTTCAGGCTTCCCTTAGCAGTAAGTAGAGTGGTAAAGTTGAGCTTTAAGTCTTGGTTGTTTTGGGGGATTTTGAAAACATTTTCAGAGTCAGCTTTGATATTTGATGAAGAAGGGGCTCTTACTGTCTTGATTTCTTAAGTAGCTGACTCCTGACAGAGGACTTATTACAGGAGGAAGGGGTTCCCTGGGCTGTCACGGTGAGAAAGGCTTTTCAATTATTTCAGTTTCTCTGGCAAAAATGTGGCAGATGGATATTAGTACTGTTCAAAACGATGTCAAACCAATTAGGTTCATAGTGATAGGATAGTGATTTGAGATATGAGACAGTACTGGAGAATCATGTATAAGTATGAGCCACTTGTGAGAGAGTGCAGAGAAGATAGACCCTGAGCTTCCACTTCAGACTTCTTTCAAAAGGAGAGAGAGAAAATTAAATCATTAAGGATCTCATTACATTGTGTAAATTTGATAGTGGTGTGTTGTAAGGGACAAGGACTTAATAAATCAGCAAGTATCTTTTAGGCCCTTAATCCCATGTATAGAGAAATTTTTGAATCCATTCTCCTGTTCCAAGGAATATCAGACAGAATCATTAACAGAAATTAAAACTCCCCATCCCAGCAGTAGGCAGAGAAGGGAATCCCCAGATATCAGTTGTGATAAGACCCTTCACAATGCTCACAAACAAGTATCTGTAATATTTGAAATAAACAATGTGCTTTTAGTTATAATTTACCATCAGTTTAAAGCATTTCTGAGTAAGAATGTAATTTGAAAAAAACCTGTGTGAAGTCAGCCTTCTGCCCTACCTAGTTGTAAAACCATGGTCCTGTTTTAGACACTATACTCCATGATAGATGTGGCCTAGCAGGAGAAAAAGAGAGTGGAATTTGACAAGAAAAACCTGGGATCTATTTAATCTAACTGCAAAAAGGGCATTCTAGTGGTGGGTTGCTTAGCCTGACAGAGAAGATTCTGCCAAGAAGCATAATATGCAAATATACAAAATGCCACTATGTAAAGATCAACTTTCTCCTGTTGGTAGTGCCAATGGTACATGTACAACATGGCCATGTGCTTCTGAACTGTAGGAGAGGGAGGCATGGGAACAAATTGCTGTGAATGCAGCTTTCTGGGTGGTCTGCAAGAGGAGGTTAAACAAACTTGTCAGTAATGACATAGCTATGGCTGATCTTGCCATGGTGTCAGGTGAATGGTCTTGGATTATTTCTTGGGGTCCCTGTAAGCTTCTGTCACAGAGTGCCACTGTATTTAAGTGCTCACCAGCTTGCCACGTTTGCTGTCTCAGGAATTATGTTTCCACCATGGATGGAATTCAGGGTGTGAATTCCTGCTAGTGTGGTTGCTGACAGCAGTTCCAACTGTTCCTCAATAAGTAAAAGTCTGGAACTGGATTTACAAAGTGAAGTCTGACTCCTGATGTCCCTAGATATTACGCTTTTCATTTTGAAAAATGCATTAGCCCATAGTTGTTATTAAAGTGGTCTGTCATTTATACACCTTGCTCCATTCCTCTTAGTTCTTTGCTTTCTTTTGTATGTGATGCCCATTCATATGCATAAGGACAGTGCCAGAACTCCAGATTTCTGAGGATCTGCACTGGGCATCAGTGTTGTTGGTGCCAAGGTTAACACTGGTCAGGTAATCCTGTGGTAACATATGGGAATGCTTCCTACCCATCTCACACAGGCTGTAGTGATCAGGATTTGTTAGCAGCACCATGGATCTTCAAAAAACTTCAGAAGCATTGTCATGTATCTAATCAATATGAATGATACAAATTCCCTGTCAGGTCTATGCTTGAGTCTTGAATAATCTGTAGGATTTTTTTTCTTTAACGGGAATTTTTTCTTTCTCCAGGTCTTGTCTTCACAGCTCAGTGCATCCCCCACCTGCTGCTGTAGCCTGTGAGGCTGTACATTTATCTTCTACAGTAGACATGACACAAACAGGAATTGCATCATCATTCCTAGAGACTGAAAATGTCTCTCTTCTCTGATTCTGTATTCCCTGAAGTCAACATAGAAAAAAGTGTGCTCTTCTTTCAAAGCCAGCATGTGTCTGGTATCTGCACGTCACATATGTACTACAGCATGGACAGTTCAAATGTGTTTGTCACTGGAGTGAAATGTTTATTGTCTTGCCTAATTCCAGATGGTGTGGTGTATAAAGGAGACCCTTCCCTCACAAGCAGGTTATCATGCATCCCATGTGTTGGTCACAGTCTTTCAGCTCTTCCAGCTGCATGAGTGCCTGATAATGAGTGCTTGTATTGTGCTTGATTACATGAATAATCCCCTGATCCAGCGGAGACTGTTTGAGGATTAACTGCTACTTTAGATACCTTTGCACACATAAACTGGCCCATTATGAACAAAAGTACAGACCTACCCTTATGCGAGATAAAGTGCCTATTGTACTTCCAGTTATAAAGGTAGAACACTTCTGTCAGTCACTTACAAGTAATGATACATCAGTAGCATGTACACTTGTTAGGCATGAAGTTGCCACATTCAATCAGTGTCAGCAAGTGATGTGTTCCAGAGATATTGCAACCATTGCTCATAGCAATTAGCAGTAATTGCAAATAATATACCAACTGCAGTTTGCTCAAAAGCTGCTTGCTTTAATGGCATGTGAAACTAATTTAAGGAAGGACCTTCCTGTGTTAAGTGCAGTTTTGTTAATCTCTATTCTATAATTACAGCTGAGTAAAGCCATTAAATCATTGTCTAGTTAATTGGCTGGTGTGTAACATCTGGTTAGAGTCACTTAATAAAGTACAATTAACCAGTTTCTTATGACATACTCCCAGTTAATACATTTTTTTTCTTCTGTATGAAAGAATCAAGTGGCTTTGATTATTACCGCTCCTCTTCAGAAGTTGCTTTGTTATATGTTAGCAATAAAAATGTTAACTGGTGAAATAAAAAAAAAAAAACCCAGGAATTTTGGTTTTGTGATTTTTTTTTCCTAAGTTATGTTTTGTGTTTTACCACTTTAAATATATGCTGCACATTTTTGGAATTGTTAATTTCTGAATTGCTAAGATTCTGATGCCTAGTGGTCTTACAATTTTAGATGTTCTGTCTCTGTATAGCATGTAATTGGGGTCTTTTTGGATTTAAAGTACAACAGCATATTTCATAGTTAGAAGCAAAGAGGAGTTACAGACAAAAAGAGTTTTCAATTGCTGCATCCAGTAGAAAGTACTTTTTCCAGGTCTGGGCATACACCATTTCTGTTATCTGGCATTTCCAGAGCTGTCCTTCAAGTTAATAGTTAATAGCTAAGTAACGCCTTTGTCTACACTAGGGATTAAAAGTCGATAGCATTGTCTGTTGCTAATTGAGAAAGAATAACTAAACTGTTCATACTGGGAAACCATGCCTTAATTTTTCGGTTTCTTGTGTGGAATTTATTCTCAGACATTCCATGCCTAATTCCCTTTCTCAGTGGAATAGATTGCAGGGTTTGGTATAGAGTATGAACTGCACCACTTTATTCTGATTCAGTCTCCTGCTGCTCTGGTCCTTAGAGAGAGTTCATGAGCAGCTGTTCCTGTGTAAGGGAGAGCTGGAGAGGCTGGAAATTATTTAGAGACAGATGTGCCATTCTCTGTTAAAAAGCTGAACTTCTTTTTACGCTTTACTGAGACTACCAGTGTTCCAGTGTGCTACACTTGATCAGGACTATAAAGTCCATCTTGTCAGTGGGTATAACTGGAAAACTGGACATCTTTGTGTGATCTTCAGCAGATTATTTCTTTTCTGTGTGCCTCTTATTTGCCCAAGTTGCTTTTTCATAAAGTTTTCAGAGCAAGGGTTTTTTCTTACAAAACATCCATACTTCTGCAGGTAGCTGGATAACATACTTAATGACTGATTTGGACATCTCCACACAGTGTAGCTTCTTGATACCCAGGAATGGACTGATAAGGGAGAAAAGATGAGACAAGACTTTCTGTCATCTTCAATTTTCCACAACAGCTACAGTTCTGCAAGTTTCCCTCATTCCTTCTGCCTCCCTTGTCACTTTTAGCAGACATACCTCTGGCTGTGAGCATATCTTCTTATGTGTTTATCTTATTACTTATTACTTATGTTTACTTATCTTTCTTACACCTGTATCTGTCTCAGTTAAATATAGAAAGAACAGAAAACTAATATTACCTTGCCATCCTCAGACAGATGTGCAAATGTTAACAATTTTTTTTGTTAGACCCTTGCTCTACTGTTCCCAAGCTTTTCTGCTGAACTAATTGCAATGCCACATTCTCATATTTCCAGAAATTCTAGAGACATTTATAGTGATTATAGAGACATTTCTAGTACCTTCAGTTAACGCTGAAATTTTTCCTTTTTTTCCAATTTTTTCTGTGCTTCCTTGGATAGGTTTTCCACACCCAGGCCAAGTAAGGTTAATTGAACTGAATCTACTGTACTTTTACTGCTGATCTGAACCACTTCATGGTGCTATGTTGAAATGTGCTATTGAGAAACTCGTTGCTTTAGATCCATACCAATGTCTGCACTATATATGGAGTGTTTTAATCCTCTTTGCAGGAAATGGGAAATTGTTAGTCCTGGATAAACAAGTCTTGTAAACATAAGTGAAACTATTTTTTCTATTTAATTTTAAAATTGTGAAGTAACACAGGATACTGTAAAAATCCAGCACTTATGCAAGTAATTGTGATGGTATATATCAAGTGAAAAAGGTTTTATTGTAAAATACAGTTTCCACTACATGTCACTGATGGGTCCTTAAAACTTTTGGTGAAATTTCTTTGTTTTGGGCATGATAAACACAGAAGTCAGCCAGGCTTGTTTGTTTCAGTATTTGTATTGTCAATCAATTGTACAAACAGGGCCAGACAAGGGAGCCGGTGTCATGGTTTTAAGCCCACAAATCCATGGAAATGAACCTTATAGCCACTCCCTCCCTCCCTTTTCCCTGCAATCCAGTGGAAAGGGAAGGAAAATCAAAGTAAAACTAGCATGTTTAATAATTGAAAATAAAACAAAATACAATAATAGTGGTGAAGAAGAATAGTGAAATGAGAGAAAACCAAGTGATGTGCAATGCATTTGCTCACTGCCCACTGACAGATGCCAGACCCCCCTCCTGAACCCAGACTGGCCGAGCTTCTGGGTGACTCCCCCCAGTTTATGCACTGGGCATGACGTTCAGTGGTGTGGAATATCCCTTTGGCCAATTCAGGTCACCTGCCTAGCTATGCTTCCTCCCAGTTTGTTGGGCTTTTTGCATACCTCCTCATTGACAGAGCATGAGGCAAGGGAAAAAACAGTCCTTGATTAAGGATAAACACTGTTTAGCAAAACCCAAAACATTGGTGTGTTATCAACACCATTCTTATTTTAAATCCAAAACACAGCACTGTAACAGCTACTGAGAAGAAATAAATTCTACCCCATCTGTAACCAGGACAGCCAGTCTGCTCCTTGTGTTTGTGTATGTTCTCAGATTTAACTATTCTCAATTACCTCTCCTGTTTCCAAGGTCTTGCACTATTTTGTGAGGCCATTTCATATTCAGCATGGTTCAGTCAGAATCCAGCATGGGCCCACAGGTCTGTAGCTCAGATGAGAGGATTTCTGCTCCTAGTGATAGAACTGCTAGGAAAGTCTGTGAAAAATCTAACTGTTGCAATCCTTTCAAGGAGGGAACTGGTGTCCTTGAATATACTGAGTAGATTCTGTGAAATTAGTTGGTGATCTTAGTGCTGAGCTCCAATGTAAGGGATTAAGTGTCAGTGTTGCAGCAGTACTGCAGTTCCTAGCAGCAGATGAATGACTCTTTGGACAACACAGGCACTGTCTTTTCATTTCTGACAGCGATGAGGTCTGAGGAATCAGAGCACAATGATTTAATTTGTGGTATTGCTATTATGGAGCTATTTCCATTTTGAGGTTTAAAAAATGGCACCATTACAGTCACAGAAGAAAAAGGGGAGTCTTGCTCTGGAGTTCTCTTTTTCCTCCTCCCCTTCTTTCCTCAAATGTTTAGTGTATTTTTTTCCAGAAATAGTGCCTTTCTTCCTGCAATCTCATGGTGGAATATGGAACAACATTTTATTAGTGTTTTCCCAACCTTGAGGCAGCAAAATTAATGGAGTTCAGTTGCAGTTCATGATTTATGTTCCCTGGAGTCCTTGTTGGATTACCATGTTGTACATTATACATGTATGATATATATATACATGTGTGTGTTTGTGCATATATATTTTTTTTCTGTTTGTTCCATTGCACTTAATTAACTGAAGAGACAGTCAAAATTTCCCACCAATAGTGGAGAACCTTGGTTTCCACCCCAAGACTATCAAAAATACTAGTAGAATGAGAAGCAACAGAGAAAGAATTATAGAAATAAAGCAAATTCTTAACAGAAAGTAATTTCCAAAGGCCCAGATTTTCTTAAGCAGCTTTTAGCATAGAATATTTTAGCTTGATTTGGTAGCAGTTCATATAAAAGTCACTCCTGCAGCCATCCTGGGAAAAGTGAAAAGGCAGTAAACTGGTGAAGATGTTCCAAGCTAATGACCACAAATCAGCTGTGCCAACACATTGAATAAAGACTAATATAACAAAAACAAAGGGTAGGGGTGGTGAAAGCCAGCTCTCATCTATCCCTTCCAACTGTGTAAAATGGCTCAGTTTTTCTCATAGCTGATGAAAACATTAGGAAGTTTCATTTTGTATTCCTGTGAATTCTGACCCATTCTGGGTATTTTATTTTCATGCATTCACTTGTTCAGTCCTTTCTTCTAACCTGGAGTATTCCTTCATGTGCAGAAAAACAATCAGATCACTGTGGAATGCCAAATTAGTAGCAATTGTAAATATCTACTGAGAGGCACAGAGACAAGGTGGGAGTGTTTAACACATTCTTTGCCTGTGTCTTCAATGTGGATAATGAACCAACAGGGTCTCAGTACCCTGAGCTGGAGGGTCTCACCCTGACTGTGAGAATGATCAACTCCCAGCTGACCCTGAAATTGTGCAGGATCTGCTGCTCCAGTTGAACATTTACAAATCTGATGGGCTTCCTCAAAGAACTAGATGATGTCATGGCAAAACCTATCTTGATTTTTGAGCAATCCTGGGAATCCAGAGATGTCACAGGTAATTGAAGCTGATGAACATTGTTCCAGATTTGAAAAAGGGGCAGGCAAGAGGAACATGGAAATTACAGACCTGTCAGTTCCACTTCAGTGTTCAGTAAAGTTACAGAAAGATTATTTTGGGAGGTATTGAAAAACACCTGAAGAGCAACACAGTCGCTAGTCTAGGTTGGCACAGCTTCATGAGGGGAAAGGACACTGCTTATCAGACTTGATTTCCTTTCATGACAAGATAACCCACCTAGCTGATCAAGGGAAGTCAGCGGATGCAATCTTTTCAGATATCAGTAAAGCTTTCAATATTGGCCTTCCAGTATTGAAAAGCCCTTGTGGAGAAAATGTCCAGCTCACACTGAATAACTACATCACATATTGGGTGAGCAACTGGCTCAAGGGTCAGGCACAAGGGATTACAGGGAATGGGGTGACACCAGACTGGTCACCTGTCACTGAAGGGTTTCCACAGGGCTCCATGCTCAGCCCTGTGCTCTTCAACAGCTTCATAAATGGCTTGGACAGGCACTGATCTCTTCTCTGGGATAATCAGTGACAGGACGTGAAGGAGTGGCCTGAAGCTGTGTCAGAGGGTTTAGGCTGGATACTAGAAAAAGGTTCTTCACCCAGAGGGGAGGTTGGGCACTGAACAGGCTTCCCAGAGAAATGGTCACAGCACCCAGCTTGACAGAGTTCAAGAGAAATTTGGAAAATAATCTTGGGCTCATGGTGTGACTCTTGGGGATGGTGTTGTGTGGGGCTGGGGATTGGACTTGATGATCCTTGAGGGTCCATTCCACTCA